TAGTACTGTAGTCGTCGTCGTAGTCGTAGTAGTAGTCGTCGTCGTCGTAGTCGTAGTCGTAGTCGTAGTAGTAGTAGTAGTAGTAGTAGTAGTAGTAGGTGCCCCCCCCAACAACTTCACTTGCTCTAAACCATCTCAAGAGCACATCCGTTTTGGTCGGTATTTGCAGCACGTTCGTCATGTACGATCATCATAAGAAACCTCAAAATCGACTTGCCGAGTTTGCAAACTCGGCCTCTTGATTTTGGTGGGGGGGGTGGGGGGAGATGACGACAGTGTTACGCAAACACAACCAACAGCATCACCACAACAGCCGTATAACTCGGAATTTACAATACTTTCGTGATGTCGTACTTTCTTACATACTTCTGGACTCTGCGTCTTAAACTTTGGTGTCTCGAACGGCTTGCGGCGAAAACTCGAAACTGGATGGGGGAAGCCACTTTCGGAGATGATCACGACACTGTTTCGCGCACACACCACCACCACCCCCCCCAAAAAAAAACAAGCAAGTCCAAAATCCGAAGCTCGAGTTTGCAAACTCGACAAGTCGACTTTGAGGCTTCACAGGGTGATCCTACATGACGAAAGTGCTGTAAATACAGAGTAAAATGGATGTTGCCTGAACATGCTTAAGAGCAAGTGTGTTGGAGAATGATTTTAGCATGATGTTGATTATTTTTCATGATGTTCATCATGATTTTTGGATGATGTCGATGATGTTGATGTTCATGACGATGACGAGGTGTAGTTCGTAGGGGGGTGGCCCGTAGTAGTAGTCGTCGTCGTCGTCGTCGTCGTCGTCGTAGTCGTAGTCGTAGTCGTGGTGGTGGTAGTAGTAGTAGCAGCAGCAGTAGTAATAGCAGCAGCAGGAGCAGCAGCAGTAGCAGGCAGAGGGAGTGGCAGCGGCAGTGGCAGTGGCAGCAGACGTAGTAGCTTGTGTAGTACGAGCGTGGGTGGTTTCATACCCCAACAGCAAAACTTACCCCAGCCGCAAGGAACACTGACTTGACCCACGTCCCCAAACTTATCCCAAAGTCGCTTCCCCGAAGGAACAGCGGCCTCAACGATCATACATGGCATGGTAAATCACAGCGTTCTCCTGGCAATTGCAGATATTGGAAGAGATAAATGTAAACAAGACATGATGCAGGCGAACATGAAACCCCTTAGAACACACTCATTCCATGCAAGCCAGAAGGATCTTCCCAGCAGTGACTGAAGACAGCTTTCTCCTTGCTACTCCGGTAGTTCGAAGCCACAAAATCACCACAAGCACAAAACGACACCAGGAAACAGAAACCCTCAGAACGGTGCGATCCAACATGTTTTCGTCACCTTCGCGAACCTCTTGTCCCGGTTTGGTTTGACTTCCAAGCGCTGAACCAAGCGTTCCGCCCAGCCGTGGTGGCTAAGGTTTTGGGTGCAACAAGTTCCTTGTTGAACACCTCCCACATCCCCATCTTCTTGGAGCACTTCGGCTTCAGGTGCGTGGCTACGTAAAAGGCAGCCACAGGAGCAATACTGCTCCGACGATCTTTGCTGAAGCAGGCCATGATGTAGTTCTGGCAACCTTCCGCGGTCCCCAAATCGTGTTCATCATCGCTCAAAGACGTCTCTGGTGGGCACGGCTCCTCAACAGCAGGCTTCGTCTCAGCTTTCTCAGTCTGCAACCCCGTGCTGTCGGGCAGCGGCTTCGGAAGCTCTGCAGTTGGCGCTTCTGCACTGTCAGCCGCACCTTGAGCATCTTGTGCACTATGACGAACCTTCGAGAGCATGTCGCCCGAGATCTTTGTCAAGTTCTGTTTCTTGGATGGGTTGAAATCTAGCGCATCTTGCATGTCGACCAGCTGGTCGCATTGCCGCTTGTAGCCTTGCGACCGGCTGCCCTTCGAGACTGCATTGGCGATGCTGCTGTAGTGCGCATTCGGCGTCGCACATTCCGGGCAGAATTTGCACGATGAGGATACCATGGCCTTGCAGTGTGTTCCTGAGCACCTGTGTGAGTCGGTTGCTCTCTTGTACCCCTCCGGGGGTGGCAGAACCAGGGAGGACTCCTCGGCTTCGTACTTTCGTTCGGTTGCCGGCAGCAGCTTCCTGAACCTGGGTTGCACACGATCTCACTGCACGCAGGAATTGGAACTCGCACAAGATTTCAATCTTATTTATCGCTTCAGTAACAACAATAGCAGTGTTCAATGCTGAGTTTGCACAAGTGGAGCCTCCCAACCCTCAGTTTGCACAAGAGGAGCCTCCCAAGCCTCAGTTTCCACAATGGATCCTCTCAAGCCTCAGTTTGCACATGTTGCTCAGTCTGCACAAGTGGCTCCTCCCAAGCCTCAGTTTGCAGAAGTGGAGCCTCTCAAGCCTCAGTTTCTCCCAAGCCTCAGTTTGCAGAAGTGTAGCGTCTCAAGCCTCAGTTTGCACATGTGGCTCCTCCCAAGCCTCAGTTTGCAGAAGTGGAGCTT